AAGCATGGTTTATTGCCTAAAGCTTGTTTCAGAAATGGTGACAACAATTTTTTTTCCATCATTATTGAACATCATTATAGGTGTATTAGGTTGAATGAGTTAGAATTAAATGTTTTACTAATCATTAGAAAATAGTCATTAAGAGAATCAATTGTTATGCAAGTACTTTTACTTTTAATACTTAAAGTACATTTAAAATCAGGTACTTTTTACTTAAGTATGGTTGTCATTGTGTACTTCCTCCACCACTGGTAATATCATCGCACAGTTTTCACCAGTTCATAATATAAAAAAAAAAAAAAAAAAAAAAAAAAAGTACAATAAAGTACTATATGTATTTTAAAGAAATTCACTTCAAAAATATTTAAATATGTAAAACCTACAGCATCTAGCATGCATTAGTTCAGTCAGCATGAAGGGAAATCACAATGTATATTTATTCCTCTAACTTTGACCCAGGAAGTGTAGCTTGAACTTTTTGCTTCTGAAAGACAGCTTTGTAACGTCACTGAATCAGCCCACACATACAGATGTCTTCCTGCTTTTAAGAAGGCAACAGGGATAAGGAACACTATAGGTAAGATACATACTTTCTTATACATACCTCTGCATGTAATAAGACATTTACGTATGAAATGCACTAAAACATGAGCTTATTTTAACCATGAATGTAAGTAACTCTGTGAGCATGCAGGGACATTTGAGAGTTTCACTTTCATTTCTGTCACAGAACCGTATCACAAACAAATCTGCGTATAAAAGACTGTGTTTAGTGTTGAGGTGCATGAATATCTTCTGATGTGTAATTAAGTTCAATCTTTTCTATGTAATTCAGAGTTTGGCGTATTTCTATCCTATATGAGAGTGTGTGTTTGTTCAGTGGGAATCAAATCTGTGACACACAGCAGGTTTTCAGGAAGCTTTATGGTCTTCTAGTTGAGATTCCCAGTTCAACCTTGTTAAATAGAAAACTGAACAGCAACAACATGCACAAAACTACAGAACTGGATAGAGCTTTTCATTGCCTGGACTAATGAAATTAGACTGAATTTGTTTGAAAATCCTTAAAATCTCTCACAGGACGACGAAGACAGACATCACATGTCAGGAGTCAGAGAAGATGATCAGCTTTACAAAATCACACTTACGTGTAAGACAGCTAGTCCCTATTCTTTCTGCTCACATCCATCCACAGATGTGCAGATGTTCATTGGACATTTTCTGAGACTCAGGACTGTGATGAATCTCTTACAGAATGATGATCAGACAAACGTGAGAAACCAGAGAAGACAATCGACTGAAGAATATACAGAGGAGAAAACAGAATATCAACATGTCGACCGCTGGTGAGAATCAGAGAACGTTTCAAATAATGAATCAAGAATATTTTCATATAATTACTGTGAATGAGTCAAATATAATGCAAGACTTGTGTTTCAATACAGTGATTGTTGCTCACAATCCTCCTCGCAGGAGAAACAGCAAACATGAACCTCCTTTGAGTAAGTCTTTATCTACATAAATGTCTCATATGTTGTTACAAAAGAAGCCAGAAACAAAGATGATCAGGTGATATAGTTTTAACCATCATGAAGTAATATGATTCACCAATCTCATCACAGACCAAAAGGTTTATGTGTTATTAATAGATTATTTTCACGGACAATAATTTCTTGCCACAAATCAGATATTGTAAATTGTGATTTTTAAAGTACATATGAATCTCAACAACGGTGACATTCTTCAAGCAGCAATGCATGCTGGGAGTCACCATATTATAAAACTAATGGCTCCAAGCATGCATTTCTCCATCAAGTGTGTCACCATTGTTGAGATTTTTTTGTCATGATTTTTTTTTTTTTAATTCTTGATGTTGGTGCGTGTCAGTTTTTTTTCTCACAATGTATTTAGAAATTAAAATTTAGAATGTTTGATCTGTGGCAAAATAAAATTGTAAAATAAATAAAATAAAATAAATGTTCTTTTGCAACAAATTGTGTTTTGGTAAACACTGTTTCAAAGACAACCACTAACAATAAAGAGTCAAATAGGTCAAACTGGTGTTGTGAACTATTTTCTTTTTAAAGTGGAGAAAAGTAAGAAGCGCAGACCAGGAGACGTTGACACTGTAGTTTTAATATCTGAACCTATAGTTACCTGCAACATTGAAAGCTCCGCTTCACCGGTCTTTATGTTTAGGGCGAAAGCTCATGTGATTGCTGCTGGCTCGGGATAAATTTGTGTTGGACAGTTGTGCCGTGTGCCAGCTGCTTTGATGCCATTATCAAGTTAACTGACTCGTAACGTGTGAAATATCTCACGACCTCCTGAATGTCCGAACTTCAAAGGTTCAAAGATTTCAGACGGCCACAGATTATTGTTGTTCCAACATAAATGGGCTAGCAACTTATTTGAACCTAAAGTCAACTTCAAAAACACCTCCTACTGGTAGATTCTGTTTTTTTTTTTAAATTTGTGATTTTGATCTTGCCATCATAAACTGTTAATATCGCATGTGCTCTGTGTTATTTTATGATATGAGGATTGTGAATAATAAATGTCTGATTTTACTCTTTGCAGTGAGGATTGTTCTGCTGGGGAAGAGTGTGTCAGAAAACAGTAGAGTGGGAAACGTCATATTAGGGCGAGCAGCGTTTGACAGTGAAGCTCCTCCAGATGTTGTAGAGAGAGTCGGAGGAAGACTGAAGGACAGACACGTGATCCTCATCAACAGTCCTCAGCTGCTCGAAACACACCTGTCACTTCGTCAGATCACGAAGACCGTGAGAGAGTGTGTGTCTCTGTCAGATCCAGGACCTCATGTGATCGTTCTGCTCCTCAAACATGAGCAGTGTTCAGCAGATGATCAAGAGTGTGTGGAGAAGGTGCTGGACTCTTTCTCTGAGCGGGTTTATCAACACAGTATGGTGCTCACGACACAAGAGCCGACTGAAACCGACGACATCCTACAGAAAATCATTCAGAAATGCTGCAACAGACACTTCAGTCTTCAGGGAAACAGCTCTCCTGATGATCTCCTGCAGACGTTTGAGGACATTGAGAAAATGAATGATGGACGGCATCTGGATTGTGCTGAAGCTTCACAGTGTTTCACAACGAAGCAACAGGACACAGAAAGACGTGAGTGTGATGATAAATTATATTTCTAATGATAAATGAACAGTTTTTAAATGTTCTTCTATCAGTTTCAGAGGGTGTGAAGCTGAATCTGGTTGTGTGTGGGAGCGACGGCACATTAAAGTCCTCCATATCAGAGCAGATACTGCAGCACAGAGGCAGAAGATCAGACGTGGATCTTCATGGTCGTGTGATCAGTGTGGTGGAGCTTCCAGCTCTGTTCAACACTCGACTCTCAGAGCAGGAAGTGATGCGTCAGACTCTCCGCTGTGTGTCTCTCTGTGATCCTGGAGTTCATGTTTTCCTCCTCATTATTCCTGATGCTCCACTCAATAATGAAGACAAAGCAGAAATAGAGAAGATCCAGAGGATCTTCAGCTCCAGAATCAACAAACACATCATGATCCTCATAATGCAGAATTCAGAGCATCAGACAGCAGAACTCAATGAGGAAACACAGTCTGCCATTGAGAGTTTTGGAGGACGACATAATTTCTTTGGTCCCACCACACAAGTGTCCACATTGATGGAGAACGTTGAGAAGATGCTTGAAGAAAACAGAGGAGAGTTTTTCTCCATAGAGACATTTCTGGAGGCACAGATGAAAAAACTGATGAAATATGAAGAGATGAAAAAGAAAAGTCATTCATTAGAGACGCATTTATTCTCACAAGGTAATGGCCACCAGGAAATAAGTCTAATACACTATAGTAAGTGTTACCAAACGGCAGAGATGGGAGTAAGTACACCCATGAACTCACACAGCAAAAACTCCAGTGTTAAATTAACTTTCCTAAGAGTTAATTTGGCCCCAGACTCAAGACTGTTAAAGTGTTAAAATGAGTGTTAAATTAACACTCATTAGTGTTAAAGCCACACTGCGGAACTTATTGGCCACTAGATGGTGCTCGACATGTAATTTTCACGTCCAACGTCCCTAGAGGCCACAAGCTCCGCAGCACTGTCGCAAATTAAAGTCAACAAACAGTCAACCGGTCAGCCTCTCGAGTCTTTAGATTGTGTGTGCTTGTGCTTTTACTGTCTATAGTGCTTGCAGTGTATGAGGCGGGCCGGGCAGCCTTGTCGCGCTTGATTCCCTTATAGCAGTCGGCTGAGCGAGCGAGCGGGGTGATCCCCGTGGGGATTAACGTATCATGTCTGTGAGTGAATGTGGGCGCGGGACAGCGGACACATTCACTGCACTGAAAACACCGTTGGCCAGAGCTGACTGTAACGTTATGTGTGTTGGTTTATTTTTACAGAAACTGTGGGACATGTGGTGTGTAGCTAATGTTAGTGTTTGTGGGTACTACTGAGTCGTGGGGACGTTCACGTTGACATGAGTAGATTTTATTAGTGTGAGCCCTGCACTGAGGCGGGCTGTGTTTGTAGAAATGAACACTGGGCTGTGGGCATTTTATTACACTCATAACACCATCGGCTGTGGCCGGAATACCAGAAAATACTACACTGCTTATATGAATTTATCTGGGTTACCTTAGAAACGGCATTTGTGTGCAGGCAAGCGTCCACATCGGTCGAGCACCCCTCCTCCTTTAGCTCACGCCAGCGAGCGAAGCGAAAGCTGGACCAATGTGTTAATCCTCGTCCTGGCTTTTAATTTGTCACTCTCCCCATTTCTTTTTTAGTTTCCTCTGATAAAACCGTTGCCTTCTTCCTTGTAGCTGTTGTTCGGCATGACGAAAACATACGGATGGCAATCAAACGCGAGTTGAGCACTAACGTTAGATTCTGAGGAAGTTGTGGGTGGTGGGGGAAGTGACGTATGCCGTAAAGCGGTCGAATTTTGTACTTCTTTTTGTGCTCTGGTTCCTACCCGAAACCCGAAGTTACAATGTGCAAGTAAAAGTGATACAGACACCTTCAGGAGACGGCAGACGCATCATTCAACCTATTGTAAGTCGATCTACCATCTCAATGGGTTTTGGTAATATATTATAAAGGTTGAAGAGTTCCACGGTGTGGCTTTAAAGTTAATGAGCTAATTAAGTGATTGATTGAGTGATGATTGACCATTATTGAAGACACCTGATGTTAACAAGCAGAATCAACAAAGGAGAAAAATCAAATTTATTTTCCATTATGGTGTCAGTATTTGCTTTAGTTGGGCTCTTGATCCTTAAACTATTAACGTTAGATTTAGTTTGGCTGCTATAATTGAATTATAACTGCCAGATAAACAACAGGAAAAGCTGATCAGTTGGTGTTGTTATGTTTTGACAATCATCATTTGACCTGAATCACTGAACCCATTTAGAGAGCCAGGTTTACGAGGAGTCACGTGATGCGCTCGAGGTAGTGAGTCGCAACCAAATGAGCTCTCTAGAAATCGCCTAATATCTGTTGAATATACACTGAAACATTGCCCAAATAGTAGTAAATAGTCTGCCGGGTACTTGTGTGAAACGTGGAATAATGGAGCGTCGACCAAAATCACGGAAAGATGAGCATAAAACCGCCGAAACAACTGAGAGAAAGCCTCCGCAAATGGCTGCCGAGGGGATCGCCTCTGAGGAAGAAAGCTCAGCGGGGGTGCTCGCCAACGCGATGAAAGAGTTTCGGGAGATCATTGGGAGTTTTAAGCAGGAGCTGATCTCTCAAATGTCGGATCTTCGCAACTCTATTCAGGGATCAATTGATACCCTTACCATGTCCGTATCATCTATGCAAGGCCGGATCACTACGGCCGAACAAAGAATTAGTGATGTGGAAGATGCAGTTTCGGGAAACGAGCGGTCCCTCAGTATCCTAAAAAAGGACAACGAGGTTCTCAGAAATAAGCTAGAATATATAGAAAACTACAACCGACGAAATAACATCCGCTTGATTGGATTAAGTGAAGGAATTGAAGGTCGGGATACTGTCGAATTTTGTAAGACATGGCTGCCGAACGTTTTGGGAGAAGAGAACTTTGGCGCTCCAATTGTCATCGAGCGTGCACACCGCGTCCTGGCAGTCCGAATCCCGGGAAAGGCTCCGCGGCCCATCCTGATTCGACTTCTGAGATTCCAGGACCGGGAAAGTATCCTCCGTATCGCCCGAGACAAAGCTCCAATTTCTGTTGATGGGAAAAGAATCAGCTTTTTTCCAGATTTCTCATCAGACGTGATGAACCGCAGAAGAGGGATGATTCCAGCGCTTAAGGCATGAAAGGAGAAGAATGTCAATTGCCACCTCGTATATCCCGCTCGCATTCGGATTCTTACGGAGGATGGGGGAACACGGTTCTGTCACACACCTGATGAAGCCCTCAAGTTTATGTCGGAACGTGATTGAGCTGTAGGCTAGATGACGACGCGGAGGAGTTTGCGGCGCTTCGGGATGGATCTCATATTTGCTCCAGATTGATCTAACTCAACGAGTAGTTGTTAGATCTGGATTGGTGAGTGACTTTGTTGAACAGATACTTTGGGAACTTTACCTGATAATCTTTGGTCGCCCGCGATTTATTTAGTTTTAGTTATTTCTGGTTTTGCTACCAGTGAGGGATTTCATCTATTTATGGACTGAAGCCAGACATCGACATTTTTTTTTTTCTGACGGGCGGCTGCACATGATTGGATTTCTAATTGAGTTCAACAAGTTTGGGGCATTCTTCGTATTCTTATAAATGACTGTTGCCTATATCAGTGTTTTAAGTATAAAGAGAGCCAGGTTTACCTTGATAAATACAGCAGCCTGTGATTCTACAGTATACCATTTTCAGTATTTTCAATTTAATCCAAAATATTTCTTAAAAGTTGTTCTGATCAAAAGACTTTGAAAAAATATTTTATTTGGACACACAGACATCAAGAATCGGCCTGTGATTCTCAACAATGGTGACAAAAATGAATCATGTTGCAGTGCATTCTGGGTGCCACCAATCAAAACTCATTCATGGCTCCCAACATGCATTGCAGTATGAATAAATTATGATCTTAATTGTCTTAGTAATTTCCTTTTCCTAATTGAATATTCTTTTGTCACCATTGTTGAGATTCATACACTGAATCTTGAGGTCTGTGTGTGCCTTAAACAAAGATATTTTTTATTAGAACAACTTTTAAGAAGATTATATTGAATAATCGAATGATGATTATGTTAAAACATAACCAACACTACCTAATGAATGTGTCCCTTTGTTCATCATGCAATTATAACTCAATTATAGCAGCCAACGTTAATAGTTTAAGGATCAAGAGCCCAACTAAAGCAAATACCGATCACCACAATGGTGACTAAAATGTGATTTTTCTCCTTTGTTGATTCTGCTTGTTAACATCAGATGTCTTCAATAATGGTCAATCATAACTCAATCAATCACATAATTAGCTCATTAACTCATTAACATTATTGAGTGTTAATTTAACACTCATTGTAACACTTTAACACTCTTGAGTCTGGGGCCAAATTAATTCTTAGGAAAGTTCATTTAAAACTGGAGTTTTTGCTGTGTGAGTTCATGGGTGGAATAAAAATATGGCAGGACTTTTACTTTCTGACCCCTGGACTTTCCACCTCTGCTTAATTGTAGGGACTTGAGACTTGAACATCTGTGACTCACTCCCATCTCTGTTAATACCAGACAATATAAAAGTGTATACAGGCTAAACAAGCAGTCCTTATAAAAATACAGGTTTATATAGATATAAAAAACATCACTACATCTTACATAATCAAACTTAAAAAAACGTAGACTTTAAAACTGATGTTTTTCCTCCTTTTACAGACAGTGAAGATGAACTGAGGATTGTGCTGCTGGGAAAAACTGGAGTTGGGAAAAGCGCCACAGGAAACACCATCTTGGGAAGAAACGCTTTTAAAGCCGAACAATCTTTTGAATCAGTGACCAGTGAGAGTCAGAGAGAAACATCTGAAATCAACGGTCGACGCGTTACTGTGATCGACACTCCAGGACTGTTTGATACTGAACTGACTAACGAAGAGATCCAGAGAGAAATCAGACACTGCATCTCCATGATCCTGCCTGGACCACATGCGTTTCTCTTACTGATTCCACTGGGACGATTCACTAAAGAAGAACAAGAATCAGTGAAGATCATCCAAGAGACGTTTGGTGAGAAATCTTTAATGTTCACCATCGTGCTCTTCACCAGAGGAGATGATCTGAAGGACAAAACCATTGATCAGTGTTTGGGAAAACCTGGATCTGTGATCAGAAACCTGATTGAAGCGTGTGGAAACAGATATCATGTGTTCAATAATAATCAGACTGGAGACCGAACACAGGTGTCTGATCTACTGGAGAAGATAGACAACATGGTAAATGCAAACGGAGGGAGTTTCTACTCGTGTAAGATGTTCAGACAGATGGAGAGAGAACAACAAGAACAACAGATGAAGATCCTGATGGACAGAGTGGACCAACTGAACAGAGAAAGAGAAGAACTGATGAAGAAACAAGAGGATGAGAAAGAGAGGATGAAGATCACAATGGAGGAAGAACAAAAGAATCATGACAAAGAGAGAAAGAGAAGTGAAGAGGAACTCAAAAGAGAAATAAGAGAACAAGAGAAACTTCAGAGAGAGATACGAGACGAGATGAGACGAGAACGAGAGACATTTAAACATGAAATAGAGGAAATGAAGGAAGAAAAAGAGAAACTTCAGATCAAATACAACACAGAAATAGACAGAATAGAGAATCAGATGAAGAAAAGACTAGATGAATATACAAAAAGAGAAGCACAATATAAAACACAAATAAAAGAGAAAGAGAGAGAGATCAGAGAGGAGATGAAGAGAGAACGAGAGGAATGGGCGAGACAGAAACTAGAGGAAAAGACAAGAAAAGAAGAAGAGGATGAGAAAAGAAGAGAGAAAGAACTGAGAGTTTTGGATGAATTTAATGAGAGACTGAAAGAAGAGAGAGAGAGAATGGAAAGAGAGAAAGAAGATCTTCAATCTAAACATGAAGCAGAAGAAAACAAGATGAAGATCCTGATGGAGAAAATGACCAGCGAAAGAGAAGAACTGATGAAGAAACACGAAGAAGAGAAAGAGAGAATTAAGATCACAATGGAGGAAGAACGACAGAATCATGAGAAAGAGAAGAAGAGAAGAGAAGAGGAACTCAAAAGAGAAATAAGAGAACAAGAGAAACTTCAGAGAGAGATACGAGACGAGCTGAGACGAGAACGAGAGACATTTAAACATGAAATAGAGAAAATGAAGGAAGAAAAGGAGAAACTTCAGATCAAATACAACACAGAAATAGACAAAATAGAAAATCAGACGAAGAAAAGACTAGATGAATATACAGAAAGAGAAGAACAATATAAAACACAAATAAAAGAGAAAGAGAAGAAAGAGAGCGAGATCATTGAGGAGATGAAGAGAGAACGAGAGGAAAGGGAGAAACAGAAACTAGAGGAAACGACGAGAAAAGAAAAGGTAGAGAAAGAAAAACAGATTTTTAGTGAAGAGATTCAGAGACTCAAGAGTGAAATGGAGAGAATAGAAAGAGAGAAAGAAAGAATAGAAAGAGAGAGACGAGAACAGCTAGAGGATTTAGAGAAGAGACTGAAAGAAGAAAGAAACGCGAGAGAAGATCAACAAAAGACTTCTGAAGAGAAACTGAAACTCCTTGAAGAACAGCGTGAAGATGAACTGAAGAGAAGACGAGAGGAGTGGAGAGAGGAATATGAGAGAGAGAAAGAGATGAAGATCTGCACTGAAACTGATGATTCACTACAGGTGAGTGTTCAGAGAAATCTGGAGAAAGCTGTTCATCCATTATAACACTATTATAATATTTACTATTCATCCATTATTACATTTTAACACTTTAACCATTAAAGGGGACATATCATGCAAAATCCACTTTTTTAGCCCTTAAAGGGTTAGTTCACCCAAAAATGAAAATTCTGTCAGTATTTACTCACCCTCATGTTGTTCCAACCCCGTAAGACCTTCGTTCATCTTCAGAACACAAATTAAGATATTTAAGATATTAAGATCGCTCCTGCATACAGTCCATAGGCTTCTTGAGGGACTGGCTCTTGCTGTCCCCGAAAAGTCATTAAAGACATCGTTAAAATAGTCCAAGTGACTACAGTGGCTCAATCTTAAGTTTATCAAACGACGAGAACACTTTTGTGCGCAAAAAAACAACAAAAATAACAATTTTATTTCAACTATTCGTCTATTTCTCCCTCTGCGCGAGTCAGGTTACTAGTTTAATAGCGTAAGCTTCTGTTATTGTACGTCACACGCATCACACACATGACCAGCGTCGGCCAATAGTGAGCCTACGTGTGACGTAGCTTTACACAATCACACTACGTTAACTGACTACAGGCTTATGGAGAAGGAAGTGAATAGTTGATATAAAGTCGTTATTTTTGTTGTTTTTTTGCGCACAAAAGTGTTCTCGTTGTTTGATAAACTTAAGATTGAGCCCCTGTAGTCACTTGGACTATTTTAACGATGTCTTTAATGACTTTTTGGGGACAGCAAGAGCCAGTCCCTCAAGAAGCCTATGGACTGTATGCAGGAGCGATCTTAATATCTTAAATATCTTAATTTGTGTTCCGAAGATGAACGAAGGTCTTACGGGGTTGGAACAACATGAGGGTGAGTAAATACTGACAGAATTTTCATTTTTGGGTGAACTAACCCTTTAAATGCATTTTGTTATATATTTGGAGTGTTTATAAGTACAGAAAATATGAAATTATTCTCTTCAGGTGCTTCGTTTATATCTTTATATTCTGTTTTGGTCATATTTTTCAACCTGTTCAGATTTTTCTGTTTACTATGACGTTTTTTGAGCAAGTGCGTCCCCGTATTTGCAGCGGAACTGACAAATAAGGACATCGACTACCGGTCCAACACTTCGAGCAATCCGCCATTATTATTTCTCGCTCCGATATTGTAGTCCGAGTTCAATGATGCAGAAGTTACGAGAGGGCAAGTCAAAATGTTCGGTTGTTGGATGTAGTGACCTGAAGCACTTCAAGGATTCCCACTTCAACAACCTCCGCCAGTATAGAAGGGTTTGCCGATTGACTTCGTCTGAATGAGAGGTGAATTCCTTCTATCTTTGGAGACGACGAACAGAGCATTTCGATAAGCTGTAAATATCGTTGATACAAATAAAGTACTTTACTTTCTTAAAACACATGGTGGTCATGGTTTAGCAGTACCTTTGTCTTTCTTTTAACGTGTGAATAAAAATGTTCTTTGAAGGTATCGTATATAATCATATCTCTAATCAAACTACAATAATGGCCGAACGGGGGAGTTGAACTGACCGTGAACTCATCGACCTGGAGAGCGGGCGGGGTGTGACGCATCTCCTTTTTATTTAAAGGGGATGCTTTGAAATGGGTCGCTCAAAGACGCACATCAGAAAAGGGGCCTGTAGAGCTATAATAATGAGGAATTCAGACCCAAGCATTGCAGTTATGTTTTATATAGACCACAACGGTATGATTTATATGTAAAAATGAATGACTTAAAAGCATGATATGTACCCTTTAAAAGCTCTAGTTCACATTCTATTCATAGTTATCTGAATAAAATGTTTATATATATATATATTAAACAGCTAGAAAATAGTTCACATTCTGCCCCTCTATTCATAGTTATCTGAATAAATGTTTATATATATATTAAACAGCTAGAAAATCCTGAATAAAAACAAATATATTATTGTTTTTATTAATGATAATATATAATTTTTTAGTTTTAGTTTACTGTATCATTGTGTTTTAAACAGGGAGTCACAGCACATCTATTTCGCAGACTTCATCTTCACAGGAACAATGAACTGAGAGTTGCAGATGTTCTTCAGATAACTGAACATTCATTACAGTCCCAAGAATCCTGTGCTGAAGAAGAGCTGAGTCAGACTTTCATACGAAAACTACTGATGATGGACTACAGAGCAAGATACATCAGTGTTAAAGAGACCAATGAACATGATCAAACTCAACAAAGAGGCACTGACACATCTGAAGACATTGGTGATATATTCCAAGCAGTATCAGTGTCTAACAAAAGAACAAGTCAATCTGATCGCATTCACCCGATGGATGTTCAGATGGCCGTGGTTCATTGTGCTGATGGTCTCCTGAAGCAGTTGATGGTCACTAAACTGTCCCAGTGTCAGTACGCTCTCCCTCTGCTTGTTCCTGATCCAGACACACAACAGATTGAGTTTCCTCTCTGGACATTCAGACAAATCAACAAGAGCTGGAAGATGAAAAACACCAACAATGAGATCATCAGTCAAATCCAGCCGATCTACAAGGCAGAAACTCCAATGGTGTCTTTCTTCAGGTTTGGCTCTGTGTCTTCATCCAAGTCTCAGCTGATGAACAGTCTGATCAATGAGAAACACAACACGTTCTTCCACAGGAACTGTCCAGGCAGCAGCAGAACCAGAGTCCTGATGGATGGAGTGGTGGAGATCGCCTGGTTCTGCCCCTCTGGGAAAAACACGGATAAATTCACGGACTGTGTTGCGTTCTGTAATCTACACGGTGATGCAGGAGATCATGAGAAACAGCTGCAGATCCTCACTGAAATGGCCTCAGTCAATGTTGTTCTTCTACCACAACTTCGAAAAAATGACAGAAGTACAGAAAAGATCCAGAACCTGTTCAGAATCACAACACCACTTATTTGTATTTTTACGGAGGCTGATTTTACTTTAATGAAGATGAAGAAAGGGAAATTCAAGATTGGTCTGAAAGACAGAAATCAGTCAGATGTTTCTGAAGAACTCAGAAGAACTATAAATGAGTGTCTCTCAGAATCATCTTCCACTTTCAGACTTAAAGATTTGTCCAAACACTCAGACATCAGAGTAGATGAGGAAGATGATGATGACTGCAGGAGAGGAAGAGAAGCAGCACAGCAGATGATGAGTTTACTGAAGGATAAACATCTGACAGAAATCAAAGAATCATTTCTGCCTCATCAGGGGAAACTGTGGCATCAGTGGAGTCAGAAGAACAAAGAACTACATCGACCTCGAGCAGATGAGATAGAAATGGAAATAAGTAGAAGAAAAACAGAAATGAAGAAAATCCGTGAACGACAGCATGAATGTGATATCGGTGAGTTTATGATGCGCTATAATAAAAATATGAAGTCACATACTGGATGTGTGAAGATGTTTTTTCTCAAATGGCTCAAAATCCTCTTGGATGAACACACATCAGCTGATCTATCTGCTCTTCATCATAAATATCACAAAACATGGTCAGCAGTTTTCAAACTGAAAGAGAATTATGATAAACCTGAACAAATCAAAGCTGAACAAGCAGAACTTGAGAGAATATCTGAGGATCTTCAAGCTGCATCCTTTGGTTTGGAGCACATCATGAGGGAGATCGGTCAGATCTATGAATCATGTTCATCTGTGGAGAAGAACAAGAAAGATCTGCAGATTCACTTCTCTTCTCTCCCGAGTCTCGCAGCAGAGATGATGATCTCTGGATTTCCACTGGAGCTGATGGATGGAGATGCTGCTCATGTTCCTGTGATCTGGATCTCTGCTGTTATAGATGAACTCATCCAGAAACTGGGAGACCAGAGAGTCTTTGTGCTGTCAGTTTTAGGGCTTCAGAGCTCTGGGAAATCCACCATGCTGAACGCCATGTTTGGACTCCAGTTTGCCGTCAGTGCTGGCAGGTGCACCAGAGGAGCTTTCATGCAGCTGGTCAGAGTCTCAGACGAGATGAAAACACAGATGAACTTTGACTATATTCTGGTAGTTGATACTGAGGGTCTTCGTGCTCTAGAACTGGCTGGAAGATCAACAAGACATCATGACAATGAACTGGCCACATTTGTTGTTGGTCTTGGTAATCTGACCTTGATCAACATCTTTGGAGAAAACCTGTCTGAGATGCAGGACATTCTTCAGATTGTTGTTCAGGCCTTCATGAGGATGAAGATGGTCAAACTAAATCCCAGCTGTGTGTTTGTGCATCAGAACGTCTCAGACGTCACAGCTGGAGAGAAAAACATGGAGGGAAGGAGACGACTGCTGGAGAAACTGGATGAGATGACAAAACTCGCTGCTAAAGAGGAAGTGTGTGACGCAGAATGTTTCAGTGATGTCATTAGATTTGATATACAGAATGATGTGAAGTATTTTGCTCAACTCTGGGAGGGAAACCCACCGATGCCACCACCAAACCCAAACTACTGCGAGAACATTCAAGAACTAAAGAAAACTATTATGTCTCATGCCTCAAAATCACATGGATCAATGCTGAAAGACTTAAAAGACCGTATTAAAGATCTCTGGGAGGCTTTACTGAATGAACGATTCGTCTTCAGCTTCAGAAATTCTCTGGAGATTTCAGTCTACAGGAAACTGGAGACCGAATACAGAAAGTGGACCTGGAGTCTTCGCAGTGCCATGATGGAAACTGAGAACAAACTACTCAACCAAATAGAAAATGAAGCAATTCATGAAGTTGAGGAAACTGATCTTCAAAGAGAACTGAAGACGACAAAAGAAGAAGTGGAAAAATTAATGTCTGAATTCTTTGAGAAAGACAAAGATAAATATATACTGTTTCAGTGGAAAACATCATTTGAAATCAAAATCAAAAATATCGAGGAAAACATTGTGAAAGAAACAACAAGAAAATTAAATGAGGTTCTTCAGCAGCGAGACCTGAAGAAAAAGATTGATGCTCAGAGGAAACATCAAGAAAAAACTCTCTATGAAAAGAGCAAAGAACTTGCCTTAAAACTCAAAGATAATGATGAAGAAACACTGAAGAAAGAGTTTGATTTGTTTTGGATACAGAGTATTAAGAAGATCATCTCAGACACTCCTTCAATCAAAGATATTGATATAATGAGAGATGTGAGAGAGATCCTCAGTGACACCTATGACACCTATGACCACTGGATGGAGAGCAGAGATATTTTCTCTGTGCCCAGTTTTTCTGATTATGTAAAGGTAAAAAAATCAAGTGGATTGTTCAAATATGCCTACAGATCAGCTGAGAAGTTTGTTTGCGGTTCTTTAACTAAAGAGGATGAAGTTCAAATAAGAGCATTAGTGACAGACATTGATCAGCATACAGACACAGAGATTCAGTCATTTAACATTTCAAAGATGGGCTACAACAAGAGCTGCATTCAACAACTCACAGGTTACATCAAGGCAAGAATAGCACAACATGAGGAAGGATCAGTGAGATATGAGTTCAAGAATGAATTCTTCAGGGATTTGGTTCTTTCCATCTTCAAGAGAGCAAACAAGAAGATCTCTGATCAGCACAGACTATTCAGGGAAGCCAATGATCCTGTAATATATCTTAAGAAGAAGAGAGAAGAGTACTATAATATTTTCCAGAAATACTGTCATGGATCAACATCGGCAGCCATTTTTGGTCAGATCATCTGTCAGAAACTGAAAGAGCCCATTGAGAAGAGTGTCTACAAGAAGACTGCCAGATATCTGGCTGATGAAACGATAGCAAAGTGTGAATCACTGAATGGAAACAAATCAAATCTGGAGAAACACATCCTGAAGACACTGGCAGAAGAGGAGAATTTCGACAAATACATGAACTACATTCATAATCCCAAAGATCACCTCAAGAGTTTCATCAGAGATGAAGTCAGTCGGTACATCGATGATAAGTTCAGTGTCAGTGTTTTACCCAAGATGAAGAAGAACATTAAACTCCTGCAGCAGAAGATCATGAAAGCTGCACATGAATCTACTGAACATGTTCAAGAGAATAAAGGAGATGTTGGTTTGTGGTTGAAGAGTTTCACACAGCGGCTCTTAGATGAGCTGATCTTCTCTGAAAAAGACCTCAGTGGAGTCAAACATGATGATGTTGATGTGAAACTCCTAGAAGACGTGATAAGACAAGAACTTCCCGCTATAATATCGGACATCAGCAGAGGATTCAACACAAACACTTTTCCAGTAAAGCTGGATGATAAAGACAGACCAGATGAGCTTCTGATTGATCACTTCTGTCAGTGCTGTTGGGTTCAGTGTCCGTTCTGTGGAGCCGTCTGCACCAACAACATAGAAAACCATGATGGAGATCACAGAGTTGAATTCCATCGAATGAATGGAATTAATGGATGGCATTACCATCAAACAGAGAACCTCAGAGCTGATTTTTGCACAACTTTAGTAAGAAGTAATGAAAGATTTTGTGCGTTTGATGTGTGGTTTCCATATAAAGATTACAGAAGAGCAGGAGGAGTTTATGCGCAGTGGAGCATCACCCCTGATTATGGACACTCCTACTGGAAATGGTTTGTGTGCAGATTTCAGAAAGATCTGGAAAAATTTTATAATAAAACATTCCAGGGTCGTGGTGAGATTCCAGATGAATGGAGAGAGCTTAGAAAACAGGATGCTCTTGAGAGTTTAGATGAATGTTTGTTTGTTCCAACCTGTTTGATTTGATCAAACTCCGCATAAAATCCAGCATTTCAGCAGTATTCTCTACTTAAAGTTCAAAATCATCCCAGTTTTCCACTCAATCAAACTCTCTCTCCGCCCACTAAACGTTGAAACGGCTGTTACTATTTATCAGTTGACTCTCTCCTCACAGCTTGTCCCGGAGTTGCGTTCTCCCCATCCACCATGGGGACCATGTCCCCCTCCACCACAATACACATTTACTCATCTGTCACTTGTTGAAACATTTATTATTTTCTTCATGGTGGATGGGACATGGTGCATTATAGAAATGATAGTGAACAATTCACACAGTAAAAATGCTTTCCATTGGGTCGAATTAAATCTGGTTTTACGTCAGGGTCACGTGAAGCACCACGATGTCCGGAAATGCATTCTTTCCAACTATATATTATGGAAAACAGTGGGATAAGTCTCTACTCAAGAGACCATGAGATTGTTTTCCAGTCCAAAGACATATGAGCGAGTCAGCGCAGATGTGTGCTAGTTAACTTATCAAGCTGTGATGTAAACAAAGTCCTGCTGGCTATTTAAAAAAAAAGAGATGATTTCTTTGATATGTCCTGTTCTGACTTCCTGTTTCAATCAGAATATTGTAAATATCAAATAAATTGAGTAAAAATGCTTATCTAACCATTTCACAGGGATTTTAAGTAATGGTCAAAGTCTGTAGTCTCTGAAATATTAAATTCTGCTTGGTCAATTGTGCAATCTATCTATGTCTGATATTAAATACAGCAGTATCTGAGTATTTTTATTAATTATGTCTGCTTGTATCACAGCAGTTTCTACAAGTAAGCTAATAAAACAAGTGTTAACTCAAATGTTTCATGTTCATTTATTTTTATAAATAAAATATACATTTGTTTTGCAAGCAGCCGTATATTTTAGTGTGATAATAAACAATGACATCACACTTTCTTAACCACTTAACCACCTTTTTTGTCAATCTAAACTTGTTCGGTAATTCAAGAATACTTTTGACCTAACTCCGCAGATTATTGCTGACGGGAAAGCATTTCAAGAAGTGAAAGTATGAAAAAATGATGGAAGTTTAAATTGTCTGTAAATCAAATGCACTGTATGGGTTGATTTAAGTTGATATATTTTAAACCCTAATATAATGTGACCCACGGTTTTATCCTTAACGGTGTAATTTTTTGTTAAGAAACCCCAAATCGTCATCTCTTGAATATGGTGTTAATTTCTTTATTCTATATCCAAAAATGTTTACCCACAAGCAAAACTGGTTTAAATCTCCTTTGTTTTCCTTGTTAAATGTACCTCTCCTTTCATCCCTTATAAATAACAAAAAGGAAAATTTATTTAAACTATTAAAAGATATTTAGACTTGTCATTGTTCTTTTATCCTGTGTATAAAAATCTCATATTATGAGGTACACAAGGTAAAAACGATATAAAAACTGTTCGTTTTCTCACAAAAACCGCTCGTTTCTTGTCTTAGGCCATCAATGTGTACTTACATTTACGAGTCATTAAATCATGTTTAATTTGGACTTCTCTGTGCATGCTTTTTGAGGTGGACCCCCTTTGCCTCCATTATATGACTGACAGACAACAACGGTTTGACTGAAAAATGTCAAAATTGAAAATACTGTGGAAACAAAGACATCTACATCTTGGATGCCCTTGAGGTAAGCTAAAAAATATAAAATAATAATTTCAAAGTGAACTATCCCTTTAATATGGACAATCCATCCCGTGTGTCTTAATATGGTCACAGCAGTGCCGTCTAGTGTAGAGGACAGAAAACACAGTACAGACTCGTATAAACCACAACACTGAGAACAAGCGCCACCCTGCGGCGAGGAAAACGCGGTACAGCAAAACAGTCCAGGAAGACACACAATGTTTGGTGTCACTGTTACTGGATCATTTGTGCATAGTTTTTTCTGCACTTAAAGACATCTCTAACATCTCGACCAACAGGTTTCTGAAAACTCACAGCTTCTGCTATATCTTCATCATTTGTATGAATATATTTCAGATTTAAGTTTGTTTTTAGTACATTATTTCCTCTGAGCTCACCTATTTAAAAAAAAAACTGTATTCAAAATGTCTTTTTTCTACTGATAGGACTATACATTTATTGTAATACTGTAGGCCTATGAGATTCGGCTCATTCTAGAACATTCTCAGTTTTGTATTGCCAAGAAAATGGAACATTGTATTCAAAAATAAACTCCATGTGTTTTGGTTTTGCTTGAATGAAAACAGTAGCCTATATAAACTGCGTAGTTTCATTTAATGGAGATCAGGTGACTTCACGGAAAGCAGAAAGTGTCCGACTCCACGCCTCTCAATCACGAAGCCTTCAGCAATTCTACAGCCAGATTTTTGTTTTCAATTCTGCAGAGCCCAACTATAGCAAACACTGATAAAGTCTTAAAGAGATACTCCACTTTTTTTGGAAATAGCCTATGCTATCTCACGACCAATTCGTACGAATTCGACGCATGATTAAAAAGTGTCTAAATTCGTACGACCTCACTCGTACGAATTTGTACGATTTGTCCAAACCCACGTGATGGTTAGGTTTAGGGGCGGGGTAAGGGGTAGGTCATTCGTACGAATTCATACGAATTGGCCAATTCGTAAAATATGTACGGTTTAGCAAAATCGTACTAATTCGTACGAGTGAGGTCGTATGAATTAGTTAGACACTTTTTCATCATGCGTCGAATTCGTACGATTTGGTCGTGAGATCGAGATCGGGTTGAAATAGCCTCATTTTACCACTCCCCCAGAGTTAAACAGTTGAGTTTTACCATATTCAAATCCATTCAGCTGATTGTCTGATATTTAGAAGAATATCAGTAAACAGACAGTTTCTGGTCTGATTGACTTAGTAGGAAAAAGATATATACAGTGGAAGTCAATAAGACCAGAAACTGTCTGTTTATTGATATTCTTCTAAATATCAACAACAACAAAAAATCGTCTAAATACATTTGAAAACGGTAAAACTCAACTGTTTAACTCTGGGGGAGTGGTAAAATGAGCCTATTTCCCAAAAAAGTGGAGTATCCCTTTAATTATCTCATTAACTTTACCACTGCTTCAGTGTTCTTTAAAACTCTTGAGAATGAACTCAAAATCTGAGCTAATCTAATGCAGGTTTTTCTTTTGTTTTTTTTCTTCTTTTTTGTTCTGTATGGTGAATAGCTGGACTCTCCAGGAGCAGGTTTGGGCACCACTTCCCTAAAGGTAAAATATTTCTGAAGTCAATAAGGGTACTGAAAAAAAATGTGTCTGGCTCTGTAATACGCTAACACATTACCATGTTTATACAACATTACGTGCAAACTTTCATTTTACTGGAACATTGTGAGCATAGTTTCTCTTTGTTTCAGATCTCATCCAACCACATTCCCAAACATAAAATTCCTAAAAGCGCAGCGCTTGTTCTACTTTATAAAAATTATATTATTTGAAAATTATTTTTCCACATAGTGTCTGTTTGCATTGGAAAGGTTAATCATTATAGAAATTCAATCTTAATTATGGATTCAATTTTAACGTTCGTACCATGTTAAAATTAATATGTTGCACTAAGTTTCTGTGTTTGGATTTATGGCCTTTTTAAACATTCACATTTAGTTGATATTTTCTATGTATATATGATGAGTTGATATATTTGACATCAGTGGGTCTCTCTCACTTTGCTGCAGTCTCGATCATGATCCAGTTATGATATTGTGATGTAACTCACATGGTTTATATTATTGTGAGGTTTGGTTGGTGATGCTAGAACTATTAAGGTACAGACATCAGTTTCCAGAGTTAAATCATAATTAGTTCATCTTTGTTAACTTTGTTGTCTAAACACTGTAGTCATAAAAAAACAGTGAAATGAAACAAGTTACAGTGCTGTAATGAGGCTATTTCAACCCGATCTCACGACCAAATCGTACGAATTCGACACATGATTAAAAAGTGTCTAATTCGTACTAATTCACACGACCTCACTCGTAAGAATTAGTACGATTTTGCTAAACCGTACATATTTTACGAATTGGCCAATTCGTATGAATTCGTACGAATGACCTACCCCTTACCCCGCCCCTAAACCTAACCATCACGTGGGTTTGGACAAATCGTACAAATTCGTACGAGTGAGGTCGTACGAATTAGACACTTTTTAATCATGCGTCGAATTCGTACGAATTGGTCGTGAGATAGCGTAGGCTATTTCCAAAAAAAAGTGGAGTATCTCTTTAAGACTTTATCAGTGTTTGCTATAGTTGGGCTCTGCAGAATTGAAAACAAAAATCTGGCTGTAGAATTGCTGAAGGCTTCGTGATTGAGAGGCGTGGAGTCGGACACTTTCTGCTTTCCGTGAAGTCACCTGATCTCCATTAAATGAAAGTACGCAGTTTATATAGGCTACTGTTTTCATTCAAGCAAAACCAAAACACATGGTGTTTATTTTTAAATACAATGTTCCATTTTCTTGGCAATACAAAACTGAGAATGTTCTAGAATGAGCCGAATCTCATACGCCTACAGTATTACAATAAATGTATAGTCCTATCAGTAGAAAAAAGACATTTTGAATACAGTTTTTTTATTTTTTTATTTTAAATAGGTGAGCTCAGAGGAAATAATGTACTAAAAACAAACTTAAATCTGAAATATATTCATACAGATGATCAAGATATAGCAAGTTACAAGTTACCCTGCAGAAAAACCTGTTTCTTAGGTATGTTACCAGAAAGACACAGTATATAAAGCCTTCAGTTGGAAGGAACTCGACTGTGGAGCGGCAGTGTGTATCGTCTCTGTGTTTGTATACAATGAAATGGCAGAAGCCAATATTTCAGTGGATCAGGGCCAGTTCAGCTGTTCAGTGTGTCTGGATCTCCTGAAGGATCCAGTGACGATTCCCTGCGGACACAGTTACTGTAAGAGCTGTATCTCAGACTACTGGAATCAAGAGAGCATCTACAGATGTCCTTTATGCAAACAGACCTTCAGACCAAGACCAGTTTTAGGTAAGAATGTGGTGATCGCTGAGATGGTGGAGAAATTCAAGGCGATGAGTCCCCGATCTGCTCCTGTGCCTGCTCCTCGTCATCATCCTCACACTGGATCTAGAGATGTGCAGTGCGACTCCTGCACTGGAAGAAAACAGAAAGCAGTGAAGTCGTGTCTGAAGTGTCGAAGCTCTTACTGTCAAACTCACCTTGAACAGCATGAGAGTCTCTTCAGAGGTAATAGACACAATCTGATGGACGCCACTGGACGACTGCAGGAGATGATCTGCCCTCAACATGATAAAATGCTGAAGATTTACTGCCGTACCGACCAGCGGTGTATCTGTATGCTGTGTTTGGTGGATGAACACAAAAATCATGACACTGTATCAACTGCAGCAGCGAGGACAGAGAAACAGGTACTGCTTCATACTGGATCCCATGAGTGACATGATATCATAATGTTTCTCTCCTCATTTGTTATGTGATTTTTGTCTCAATCAGGGAAACTGTATTATGTTTTAGAAAGATAGACATTGTGTTTTTGATCAAATAAATGCAGACTTAAGTGACTAAAAATAAATAAGATACCTGTTTAAAGAAGCATTTATTCATTTAATTGTATATCTGTTTTCTGCAGAAACATTTTGAGGAAACTCAGAGAAACATCCAGACAACAATCCAGCAGAGAGAGAAATATCTAAAGCAGCTGAGAGATGCTGTGGAGTCTCATAAGGTGAGTTTGGAGAAGTCTTATTCACACTCTTAAAAATAAAATAAAAAATAAAGGTGCGAGGAAGAAACAATGCTTTAGAAGGACTTTCAGGCTCTGTGGTGAACCTGTGAAAGTTTTTTTTTTATTTGAAGGTTTATGACTTATTAGTTATTATTAGTTATCTGATTTCTGAAAAGCAACTACATGAGAAGGATGGCAGGATTAAATATCTGGTCTAAAAACAGTCATATATAATGTAAATCACATCGTAATAAAACAAAATGGATTGCATATTTCTAGACTTAAGCTATAACATGGAAACACACAACAAATTAGTGAAATTTACACTCTGCTGGCAGTCCATGAAAGTGGAATAAAGAGTGAGGAACCTGATACAGAAAATATATAATTTACAAAATGGCTGCGTTGTGGTCTTGTCTTGGTGTAGTTACAGGTCCATCATTCACTCTAAAAAATAACTCTTTGAATAAACATGAAAAAAAAAAAACAATTATGGAAAGGGTTTCCACATGATTAACTTGCTTTATTTCAGCATTATGCAATTCTGTTATTCCAATTTAATTACGTTGAGTCAACTTATTTAGTATGGTTGGGCACAGCTTCATATTGTTAGTGAATTTTAAAAGGCTCCCTGATATGATTCAGGTATTCATGTTCATAATAACATCTTAAATAATAAGATTCACATGTATAATCAATTAAACGTTTGTTGAAAATATTCCTGAATCATTTTTCAGCCTAACCAAATGCTCCACTCTTCTCCACAATGGTAACCCACTGTACAGTAAATGGTAGGCTACTACTAATGATTGCAATGCAATTGAACACTAAACACAATTATGGACCATAAAATCTTCCCCTTTTCTCATTTTCTCAAAAACACATAAAATAACACTTAATATATTTATTCTCCCTTAATTCAGCCATATGCAAAGCATGCTGGGAACTAACAAGCACAGCCCAGTTTTAGTTAACGCAACACAAATTATTCATGTAATCCAACACAAACGGATTAAGTAATCTTAAATTTTTACATATTTAAGTAGATTGAACATAATCAAATTAAGTTTGGACAAAATGTATAGCAATTGTGTGCTTAAGCTCATTTTAAAGGGACACTGCAGTTATTTTAGCTTAAATTAACAGCTTCAAAGTTATTGAAATTGTTATATGACTTCTTTCGGGTTGAATGGTGGTTTCGACCCCCCCCCCCCCCCCCAAAATGACACCTCTTCATTTACAGCTACAAATTTATAATCAGACAATATGATTTGGCCAAGAATTACAATGTAATTCTACTTATGTTATACATTATTTTGAGTCTATTTAAAATAACCCTTTTGTAACACTATAAAGAATCTTTTTGTAGAATAGGAAGGTTCTCCATGAAACACTACACTCTAATGAAGAACCATTTAAAACCTTTATTTTTAAGAGTTTAACAGAGATCTATGTCTGTGTGAGGTGCCATTAAGAGCAGATTGTAATGTGTGTCCTATAACAGCGCTCTGCACAGACGGCAGAGGAGGCTATTGAGAGGATCTTCACTGAGCTCATCCGCTCCTTTCAGAAACATCGCACTGAGATGAAGCAGCTGATCAGAGATCAGGAACGTGTCGCGGTGAACCAAGCTGAAGAACGACTGGCACGACAGGAGCTGGAGCTTGATGATCTGAGGAGGAAAGAGACTGAACTGAAACAGTTTTTAAACACAGATGATCATACTTTTTTCCTTCAGGTAACAGATGTATTTTTAACACAGGACAGAAGACTTCAACAGGCTTCTCTAAATGCAGTTTGTGTTTTTGTCTTTGTGTCTATAGAATTGTCCATCTGTCTTTCTCTCTGGATCCACAGACGACTTCACTTTCAGTTCTCACCCCAATTTTGATGAAGTGGTGAAATCTGTCTCTCAACTCAGAGACAAACTACAGCAGTTCTGCACAGACGAGATAGAAAGGTTATCTAAAACGGGTAAATACTGATTTACTCAATTAAAAGAGTTGAGCATCGTTTGTTAAATATAAATGGTGACTCGCACTGATGCACAGATGTTTTTTGGTGTTCATAGTGAAAACCGTCCAGGTCATTGTCCCGAGTATTGATGAGGCATTTCAAGAGACTTTCAGAATGTTTAAAAGATGTGAGTTACAATGAAACACACAAACACTGGCAATTACTGCAACGGTATTGATGTAACATGCTTTTGTGTGTCCCGTTACAGAGTTCGGATTTATCTTTTGAATGAAATGTGACTGTGTTTACGGAGCAGGATTAAAGTCCCCGTGAAATCAAAATTGAACCTATTTACTTTGTTAGCGCATATTACTAGTCTTGTGCTGAACAATTAATCCGTGCAAGTAAATATATATTAAAAAATGTTTTACCTTAGTGATCTTTAATCAAAATCTGAAAAGTTACTTCCGGTCTGGAACGGTTTCTTTTTCTGATGACGTAGGTTTCACAACTTGGGTGGGGAAACGCTTAACCACTCCCCTCAAACCGTTAGTTTGCTATGAGCAAGAGATGGAGAGGAGGAGCGCTAGAGTAAAACCCTGCCCTCTGTTCAATATTCCGTTTCACTTGGAAATACGTCACAGCACTGGAGAAAAATCGTTTGCAACTTCCGGTTCACGGGGACTTTAAAATCTTGAATTTCAGTGAATAAAACTTTACTGTTGCTTGCAAAAAGATACCATAAAGCTTCAGAAGAGTTGAAATGCAGACCATGATTGAGTTTTAGTGCCTAAATATTTAGCATATTTGTACATTTAAGATATTTTTTTCATAAAATTGCAGGATGAAAATTATGTTTTTCATTTAAAATAAGGAATAATATTTATCTGATTAATCAATTTATCAAAATTGTTTTTACGTCAATTTACGAATTTACGTCAAATTGTACATATTTTGAAATGATGATACTAATGCAGAGACACAATAATATGTTAAAATATTTGTATAATGTCAAATGAGTGATTATGTTTTTATCTCCAGCACGTCCTATTTCGATGTCTCCGGAAGTGTGCGCAAGGCTTGATGAGGCATTGCAGGCGAAACCCGAATACGAGAAGCCTTCTGCTTTTATTTTTGCTGACGAAAGAGATTCGTTTACCTTCAGTTCGTCTGGATTGAATCCAATCATGTGAATAAAACTTCACTCTGTTCCTTGCAAAAAACACACCATAAAGCTTCAGAAGAGTTGAAATGCCTTTTTTGCACATAATATTTAGCATAGATTTGTACAGTTACATTCTTTTTTTCATAAATTTACAGGATGAAAAACATGTTTTTCGTGTAAAATAAGGAATCATTTTTATCTGATTAATCAATTTATCAAAATAGTTGTTAAATGCAGTCCTAAATTAAGTTTTTGCTTAAAGTAAACTGAGGTTTCATTCATGATTGTACAAAGTCAAAGAGACATGTCAAATTATAATTTTTATGAAATGATGATACTAATGCAGAGACACAATAATAGGTTAATAAAAATAATATGTATTTGTACAATGTCAAATGATGGATTATGTTTTTTATCTCCTGCAGGTCAACCTTGTTGCTTCCGGAAGCGGACGCAATAAGGACGTTTAGTCAGTTAGGTAGCTATATAACCTTTTTTATTCTCCTTTCTATTCTGAAGACGATGAAGATTCGTTTGCTTTCAATAGGCCTAAGTGTGATGAAGACGATCCATTTATGCGAATAAAACTTCACTCTGTTCCTTGCAAAAACACACCATAAAGCTTCAGAAGAGTTGAAATGCCTTTTTTTGCACATAATATTTAGCATAGATTTGTACAGTTGCATTCTTTTTTCATAAATTTACAGGATGAAAAACATGTTTTTCGTGTGTTATGTGTGTGTACTGCTGAGCGATTAGTGTGTGTGCTATTTCTTTTGAGTTTCACAGATGCCGAGAGTTTAAGCAGTGCCGGTTCTGATGTCGCTCTCTCTCACAGCGCTCTCAGATCTCCTCTTCTCTCCGCCTACGGCCGCCTAATTACCAGCTGGGGTTTTCTCCAACCCGTGCGGCGTGATCACCTGTGTGTTGTCGTCTCGCCATGCGGGAGCGAGGCGAATGATTGTTTTCTTTTGATTCTAGTTTATTTGTTTAAACCAGGTAGTGGCTTTATTTCCTTTGTACACTTTTTATTATTTATTTAGTATAGTGAAGGGAAGCAGCTGCCCGGAAGATTCACCCGTTTTATTTCTTTTCGGGAGCCAGGTAAGATCTCTCCCGACTGAAGTACAGGGTTAGTAAGGGTATCTGTTTTCCCTTTATGGGCCCTACCTGTGTTATTTTTATTTTGATGAATTTATGATTTATTGATTACTCAACTCTCACGGCCTCTCTAATTAAAACTATGGTGTGTTAACGCCAGAAACGCTACCCCACCCAATCGTCTGTGATTTTTATATGTTCGGTCTTTTGTCTATGGGAGAATTTGAAACGAGCTGAACTAGATTGAGGGCTGTAACATCGTGTAAAATAAGGAATCATTTTTATCTGATTAATCAATTTATCAAAATATTTGTTAAATGCAGTCTTAAGTTTTGCTTTAAGTAAACTGATGTTTCATTCATGATTGTACAAGTCAGAGACACGTCAAAGTGTAGGCTAATTATTATGAAATTATGATACTAATGCAGAGATGAAGGTGTTGAAATATTTGTATATTGTCAAATTAGTGATTATCGCAAATAGTGTCTTTGATTTGCTTGATGGACAATTCTCTCCTCCTCCTCTTCTTCTCCCTGGATCTGAACTCAGTGAACACCGTCGGCTCCATCTGTCTGAGGGAAACACAGTGATCACTTTGGCTGACGCGTATCAGCCGTATCCTGATTATCCAGACAAATTTGATTGTTGGACCGAGGCGATGTGTGTGGAGAGTGTGACTGGACGCTGTTACTGGGAGGTGGAGTGGGCTGGAGAAGGAAAATTAGGAGTGGACATATCAGTGACATATAAGAGCATCAGCAAGAAGGGAGAAGGTCCTGAAATTGCAGCTGGACGAAACAATCAGTCCTGGTGTTTGTTCTGCTCTCCAGGCTATTGCTCATTCAGCGTCTCAGACACAATGAGTCTCATCCACAGAGTGGGGGCTGGGGGTTTACCATTTTATTTTGCATATGGGCCCGAGACTGACTTCCTACGCCACTGGTTCTGTTAGATGTTATTTGACTACTTTTAGTTTAATTATATCAATGAAGGTATAACCTATTAAAGGGTAACTAAACACCAAAACAACTTTTTTTAGTTAATGATCTGTAAGAATGGAGCTTCATAAATGCTGTTCATTGATACATTTTTTGACAATTGAGTATAAAGTGTTTTGATTTTCAAATATATGGTGTAAAAACGTCTGAGTGCTGCCCTCTTCAGGTTAAACGGAAAGCTCCTGCTGTAGGGGTACTCTCTCAGACGCCACTCTGTCACGCCCTTGGTGCGAGCTCACCACGCCCTTGGCAGCCCCTGGTATAAAAGCATCTGGTTCCGTCAAAACTACTGTAGGGAAGCAAGCGGGACGATGGCTGAGTTCTCTGGAGGAATGAGGTGTGATCCGGGAGGTGCAGGAAGTGAGGTGGATGAAGGAAGTGAGATTGAGGTAGACACCGTTGTAGACACAGGTAACGAGGGAAAAGTAAACGACGAAGAATGGAGGATAGTGAATCGGAAAAAAATGAAAAGAAAGCAAAGAGAGTCTGATGGAGAAAAAGGAGAAGAGCAAAGCTCTGAAATTAAAGTTATTCTGCGATTTCAATCCCATTGTACCTCAAATCCTTTAAAGGTTAGTGATGCAGTATATAAATTAGTAGGTGAAGTACGTTTGGTTAAAACCTTAAGAGACGGAAATCTAATGATTATATGTAGAGATAGAGTTCAGCAGCAAGGATTAATGAAGTGTAAATCATTGCTTGGGAAGGAAATCAAACCAGAAGTATGGGAAGACAGAAGGAAGGTCATGGGAGTAATATATCTGGAGTATCAACTGAGATAACTGAAGAAGAAATTAGGGTTAATGTAAGAGGTGTGAGGGTAACGAGAGTTAAACGTTTACCTTTTACAAGAGATGGTGTTAAGGCACCCAGCCTGTCTGTGTTGTTGACTCTAGAGGAAGATGCACTTCCTGAAAGAATCAAAATTGGGTATGTCAGCTATATAGTAAGACCATATATCGCTCCCCCTATGAGATGCTTTAAATGTCAGCGTTTTGGGCACATTGCAGCAGCTTGTAAGAGTAAACTCCGTTGTGTCAAATGCGGAGGGGAACATGAATATGGGAAATGTGAGAGAGGAGCTAAAATCAAATGTTGTAATTGTGGAGGAGAACACAGTGCTGCCTATAAAGGATGTGATGCACATAAAAAAGCGGTTCAAATTCAGAAAGTGAAGGTAAAAGAGAAATTGACGTATTCTGAGGCAATTAGAAAGGTAAAATCTAGTGAGGATAATAGTAGATCAGCACCTGTGATTCAATCTTCAGGTCAAAACTTGCATAAGTGTTGTGATATCACCAAGGATACACTTATAGTGGAGAAGAAAACGTTTGTAGCGTTTATGGTGGAAGTCATTAACTGTTCTGCCCAAGCATGTAGCCGAACAGAGAGAATTAAGATTATTGCAAAAGCAGCTGAAAAATATTTTGAAATGGAAGAGATGTCAGTAGAGTTCATCAATGCAACAATTAGAATGGGGATGTCAGATTCACAATCAACATGTGGTGGTGGTGGAGAATAATAATGATGCAAAGCATTCTACATTGGAATGCAAGGAGTCTAATTGCGAACAGACAAGAATTAAAACAGCACATTAAAGAGCAGTCTGTCAAACCTAATATCATTTGTATTCAGGAATCATGGTTAAAACCTTCAATTGATTTTACATTGTATGGATACACAGCTGTACGTAAGGATAGAATCTTTGCTATGGGTGGTGGAGTTGTATCCTTCATTCAACAGGGTATTATTAGTTATAGGGTTATCGATATAGTAATGAAGAGCTTGAGATGATTATAATTGAAATATGGGTGAATAAAACAAAAATTAGAATAATCAATTTTTATAATCCTTGTAAAAAAATAACTAGAGACATGTTGGAGAGTATATGTGATGTGGAAAAATCCAAAGTTATAATATGTGGAGATTTTAATGCAAATAATACACTGTGGGGAAGTGCTAAAACAGATGGAGATGGGCTCATTATTGAGGATTTTATGGATGATAATCAGTTAGTGTGCTTAAATGATGGAAGAGGCACTAGATACGATGTTGCTCGTGGTGTAGAATCTGCTATAGATCTTACTTTTGTATCACAACAACTAGCAGCTACTTGCATATGGGATGTGAGAAGTGAAAATGCTATGGGTAGCGATCATTATCCTATTTGGGTAAATATTAGTAGTCAAAATGTTAGTGTTGAAGAAAATTGGAGTCCAAGATGGAAAATGAAAGAGGTCAATTGGGGGCTGTATAATTTTATAACAAGCAGCAAATTAATTGAGATAATGCCAAAATTGAGTGAAGATATTGAGGAATTAAACAATTTGATTGTTAACATAATACATAAGTCAGCTGAGGAAACGATAGGCAAAACATCTGCAGCGAAGAAGAAGAAAATGGTACCGTGGTGGTCTGATGAGTGTAGAGAGGCTGTTAAAAACAGGAATAAAGCTTTTAAAGCTGTTAAATCTAATCATTCATATGATAATTTATTGAACTATAAAAGAACACAAGCTAAAACTAAAAGAATAATAAAAGAAACTAAAAGAAAATATTGGAGAGATTTCTGTAGTAATATTGGAACAGGAATCAAAATCAATGATATATGGGGAATGGTTAGAAAGATGGGAGGCATAAGAAGGGATTTTACATTACCAATATTAAGAGATGGTGGTATCGAGGCAGTAACCTGTAGAGAAAAAGCTGAGATGCTCGCAAAATCTTTTGTAAAAATACATAGTTCACAGAATCTTTCAAGTGAGGAGCTAGATATAAGGATGAGGACCATTGAAGAGAATAAAGATATGATGGGGATGAAAGTGGTGGGGGAGAGCTCATTAGATGAAAATTTTACATTGTTTGAACTAAAAAGAGCACTGATTGGTGTAAAAAATACATCACCAGGGAGAGACGGAATATGCTATAAAATGATTGAAGAAATATCTGATGTGGCAAAAAATGTAATATTGGTATTATATAATAAAATTTGGGAACAAGGGAAATTGCCCACTGGATGGAAACATTCAGTCATAGTCTCTATAGGGAAACCTGGAAAAGATAAAACTAATGTTAAAAACTATAGACCAATAGCGTTAACATCTAATTATGTAAACTCATGGAGAGGATGATTACTAAAAGGTTAGCGTACACATTAGAAAGCAGAAGGCTGATCACACCATATCAGAGTGGTTTTCGTGCTGGAAGAACAACTATCGATTCTGTAGTTTGCCTAGAGAATGAGGTACGTAAAGCACAATTTAATAAAGAATCTGTTTTGGCATTATTTTTTGACATAGAGCAGGCCTATGATATGCTGTGGAAAGAAGCACTTTTAATTAAGTTGAATAAAATGGAAATAGGTGGGAAAATGTTTAACTGGATTAAAGATTTTTTAAAGAATAGAACCATACAGGTAAGGATAGGATCAGAGTTATCAAGTATATACAAAATAGATAATGATACCCCACAAGGTAGTGTATGCAGTCCAATGCTTTTTAATATTATGATTAATGATGTATTTGATGGAGTGAATCAAAGGATAAACAGGGCATTATATGCAGATGATGGAGCATTGTGGGTGAGGGGCCGTAATATAGATCATTTACAGCAAAAGATGCAAACAGCAATTAATCAGGTTGGAAAATGGTCATTTAAATGGGGGTTTCATGTTTCTGTGGAAAAAACACAATTTATCTGTTTTTCTAAGAAAAGGGTAAAACCGACAGTGGATCTTAGGATATATGGGCAATCTCTCAAACAGGTTAATGAGTTAAGATATCTAGGTGTGTGGTTTGATAGTAAACTGACCTTTAAAAATCATGTACAGAAAATGGTGGAAAAATGTAAGAAAGCAATTAATCTTTTAAAGTGTCTATCAGGTTATAATTGGGGGGCATCAGGTTCCTCCTTAAAAAGAATTTATATAGCAATCATACGCTCCGTGTTTGATTATGGTTGTGTAGTATATAAAACAGCAGCTAAAACTACATTGGCAGAATTGGATCGGCTGCAGGCCAAAGCTCTCCGGCTGTGTAGTGGAGCCTTCAGAACATCACCTATCGCTGCGCT